AGGAACTCTATTCAGAACTATTGTATCTAAAAATTGATTTTTCAAAAATTTTTAATTTTTTTTTATTAAAAAAAAAATTTTTTTATGTATCAGGAACTCTAGGTATTCACGAAATGAAGCTATTAGGCCGCTCAGAATTATTGGATCTCGATTTTCGATAAGAAGTTAGCACCCCATTTTTTAAAAATTGTTTAAAATATTTATTAAGCGGAATTCTTGTTATAAATTATATAGAACTCTTTGTCTCATCAAAAAGAAACGGGAACTCTAATCAGAACTCCTGAGTATTATAGTTGGGGTGCTAACCTTCACATACCCCTAAATTCGGGAACTAATTTCATAGTGCTTCGAAGTGGTCACCCATCCGGTTACATACCGCCATCCATTATGCTTGAACTTCTGAAATCGTATGGAAACCGTTACACTTCGATGATCCACGAATACCTATATAACGATCATGGATGTATAATTACAATACATCTGTTCAATATGGTCCTGATAGAAATTTGTGCAGTTCAACTGAACATCCAGTCAGTAACTGTCTAATATTTAATCTAATGTTATTACGACTATTTTCAGGTTAGGAAATCATACGCTGTACTTTCACAGTATCAGTTATCATGTACAATAACAGTATGGTAGCATTTTGTGAAGATATTATGGGATATCGCACGCTTGGTTATCTGGATAGATTTTTTGTCGTTGAAAATTTTCAACACAGCACAATGTCCTAGGGACGTCCATTGGACGTTCAAAAGATGTCCGTACATACTAACAAAAGTGAAATTCCTCATACGGTCTCAAAAAAATTTTCACTTGTCAAGTCAGCGAAAACAACACGTCGCGAGCAGATTTAGAAAATTTTTTGTATGAGATGAACATTTTTAAAATGTCCAAATGTGAACATACTTTGTACGTTGAATAACGTTTTTTTTTAAAACATTCGTACTAAGTCCATAGACGTTCGGACTAAATAAAAACCAGATTTGGACGTCCAATGGACGTTGTGTGCTGTCTGGGATTAAAGCTATTGTACACTATTCTAATCTAAATATAAAAATGAGATATCTCAATTGATAAAATGCCCAAAATTTATTTTATCAAATAGCACAATAAAATGTATCGAATATTTCACGGTTTAATTCGTTTATATATTTTTATTAAACGTATATCTTTACGTCGATTTTTGTACAACGGTTTTAAAGTGCACTGAGTGCGCATTAGTTCAGCCAATGAAAAACGCTATTAATACAGTCGTGATAGCGCCAAACTGAATACGTGATTCATAGTATAAGCGAAAAAAAAAATTACCCGTATTTTTTCGTTTTGCAAAATTGATTGTTTAAACGATAATTGTTTAAACAAATTGTTTAAAAATGCTCATTTTGAAAAAAACTAAAAGTGCCATTCGATTCTACGATTCAAAAACAAGAAACTTTTATTCTTGGTATTTTTTCGATGCTTTGTTTATGCAAAAAATTGTTATAAATATAAACGGTTTGCATGTGCAAAGGCGGCTCCGTCCATGCTCTGGGTTTGCATATTGTTTTTTTATTTTCCGATTTGACTCGTCTTTCCTCTCATTTTGACGTGGCTTATATCCATGAATCATTTCTCACTGATCTCGGGGTGCTTTTTTACCGTGAGTCTAAAAAACTACATAAGCCTCAACTTATAACAATTTATAATAGTTTATAATAATTTTTTGCATAAACAAAGCACTGGATCGAAAAAATATCAAGAATAAAAGTTTCTTGTTTTCGAACGTAGAATCAAATGGCACTTTTAGTTTCTTAAAAATGAACATTTTTTAACAATTTGTTTAAACAATTATCGTTTAAACAATCAATTTTGCAAAACAAAAAAATACGAGTAATTTTTTTTTTTCGCTTATGCTATGAATCACGTATTCAGTTTGGCGCTATCATGGCTGTATTAGGCATGGACCTTAATGGGTTAATTATTTATAATACTATTCATGTTTACTTAATCTTTTATAATTTGTATAAATAATTAATATAATAATATGTATTGTTATAATATTATTGTTATTAATATGTAATTTGAATATTATTTATAGGAAAAGACGCGTTTCGATCGATCTGTACACGAGTATGAGATGAGAAACGTAGATTACAATAATGAAGAGAAACAATGGTCTTTTAATGATGATGTAACAGTAAGTAATTATTTGTCTTAGTATTAAAACATGTTAATTAAAATTGATCTTTTCAAAACAGCAATTCGTTGCATACAAGAGCAGGGAGGAGAACGATTGTTATCTTGAAGATGTAAGACAGGATCATAATATTATTTCACGTAAGAAGCGACAATTCAAGATACTCTATGCATCGGCAGTCCTCACGAAAATAGAGGTAATAATGAGTTATACGATATGTTGAAATTGTTTTATTTAAATGTACATATCTAAAAAGATTATAATTATGTTTACTATTTCCATAGTTGTAAATTTATTATAAATTAAATTATAAACAGAATATATACATATATACAATATTTAAATTAAATATATCATCTGCCTACCCAGTAAGCAAGAAACATTTTGGAACATTTCAGCAACATTGTAGTAACGTTGTAACATTGCTACAATGTTACTGAAATGTTCCAAAATGTTTCTTGCTTACTGGGTAGTTTCCTTGTGACTTGTATTCTTTATGTAATTATATAGTCATACATGTTTAAGAACAATAAAACAATAATAGGATTTTCATTAGTTATTTAAATAGTTACATGTCGGAATACATCAATAGTACAATATGTTGAATCAGAAGAAAAACATTAAACATCTAAATTTAATATTTTAAACAGGCGTGGCGACTTGCTGGAGGTCGAATCGTTGATTTCTGTAATGGACGCAATATCCTTTTGTTACAAACAATGAGACCTGTGCCTGGGCAAGCTCTCGATCCCTTTATCAATGAAATTTCTATAGACAAAAATGATATTTCGTCCAAACGCATAGCTAATATGGTTTTAATACCGTTGAAAGCTCGGACAAAACGACAGATTCAACTCGAGCAACGAGAGAAGTTGAACAAAAATATCAATCGAATTCGAAATCGTCGGCAGACGAATCAGTTTCGAGGAAAGTTTCGTGGACAGACGCAGTCTCAATATTTGAATTTTGGTAACGATGAAAAAAAAGAGGGCAAGGCCGAAGCTGAAGCTACTCAGCAATCTTCACACGCAGTAGTTAGTAAGTATTTAAATACTCGATATTCTATTATATTACATAATTGTATAATAATTAAATGCTTCTTTTTTACAAGAAAAAAAATTATATTAAAACAATCTAATTAAAAATAACAAATAAGTAAATTAAAAATTAAAAAATATTTTTACAAAATATAATACGAGATTAAAATTGTGATTTATAGTTAACTATATAAATAAGAATTTTATTAAAGACAAAACTTATAATTATCATGTTTTTTAAAATTATTTATATAAGTATTTTAATATGTTCTCTTTTCAGGTGGTAGTCGTGGAATGGGTCAAGCGCAAAGTATGTCATCAGGTGGCACCGGTTGCGAAGATTGTCCCGGATATCCTGGATATCTTGGATATCCTGGCATCGAAAAGGCATCGGATAAGGTACGAGCTCCACCTGCGCGTACTGACGGATATGTGCAAGTTCCAGGTGCTGGTACACCTGGTATTGCACAGCCAGGAGTCCCATCTTATTCTGGCGGGCAGATAACATATCCAACTGGAGTAGTTCCTGGAGGAATTAGCACTTATCCTGGTATTCGCTCTGGCAGACCAGAAATGTATCCCGGAGGTGTTCGTCCTGGCACTGTCATACCAGGAGCTGATGGGATGTATCCTGGAGGTGTTTATCCTGGTACCATAATACCAGGGACGTATCCTGGAGGCGTTCGTCCTGGAACGGTGTCACCAGGAACTGAAGAGATATATCCTGGAGGTGTTCGTCCTGGTACGATGACACCTGGAGCTGAGGGGACGTATCCTGGAGGTGTCCGTCCTGATATTGTGATACCAGGAGTTGAGAGACCGTATTCTGTAGATGTTCGTCCGGGTACCGTGACACCAGGAGCTGATAGGATGTACCCTGGAAGTGTTCGTCCTGGAAGTGTAACGCCAGAAGTTGATAGGACATATCCTGGTGGTGTTCAACCACCTGGAACTATAATTCCAGGAAGTGATAGAACATATCCCTCTGGAACTTTAATCACAGGAGATCGTGGTCCATATTCTGGAGATGTTCAGCGTGGAGGAGTTTTACCTGGTGTGATGGTAGGAGTTGGAAAATATCCAGGAGGTATTCAACCTGGAGTTCCACCAGGACAAAGTGTGTATCCTCCTAGTGGTATTGTAACCACTTCAGTAACAACAGGTGCCACTGCTGTTACTGGTGTTGGAACTTATCCAATTAGTACTCCAAGATTAACAAGTGGAACATATCCGGGAGTTCCTGGTACAGCAGTAATTCCTGGCACAGGAGTAATTCCTGGCACAGGAATGATTTCTGGCACAGGAGTAATTCCTGGCACAGGAGTAATTCCTGGCACAGGAGTAATTCCTGGCACAGGAGTAATTCCCGGCACAGGAGTAATTCCCGGCACAGGAGTAATTCCCGGCACAGGAGTAATTCCTGGCACAGGAGTTCCTGGCAGAGGAGTAATTCCTGGTACAGGAGTGCCTGGCACAGGAGTTCCTGGTACTGGAATTCCTGATACTAGAATTCCTGGTACTGGAATTCCTGGTACTGGAATTCCCGGTACTGGAGTCTATCCTGGTGGTGTTCGACCTGATGCTATCCCAGGAACAAGTGTCGGGACATATCCTGGTAGTGTTGTGCCAGGAACAGTAACTCAAGGAGTTTATCCTGGACAGCAGACTGTTGTGTACCGCCCTGAAGGTGTTCCATCAGGCACTTTACCAAGCGGAGGTCAAGTTCCTAGTACGATTACGACTACAACATCTGGTACTGGTACACAAGTAATAACTTATCCAGAGGGTCGACTAACGAACGGTCAAACAATTTACCCTAGTGAGACTATTCAACCTGGAAGGATTCCTGAAGGTACTCAAGTTGTGTATCCAGGTGTTACATATCCAGGAACTATTCCAGGTACATATCCTGGCGGTGCACAACAAATTCCTTCTGCCGGTGGTACTTTATACCCTGGCCAAGTAATCCATCCAGGTGGTCAAGTGCCAACTTATCCAAGCGGACAGTACCCAGGCACGGGTATTGGAATTCCAGGAAAGGAAGGAGTTCAGTATCCAACTTATCCAAGCGGACAGTACCCAGGCACGGGTATTGGAATTCCAGGAAAGGAAGGAGTTCAGTATCCAACAGGCATAACAGGAGGTCAATTATCTGGAAGGACTGGTGTGACTGAGCAGTATCTTGGTCAGTTTCCAGGTGGAATCAGTCAAAGAGTAGACAGTAGTCAGTATCCAAGAGAATTTTATCCGGGAATGGTTGGACCTGCAGGTATGGAAGAAACTGGGGGATTAACTAGACCGGCAGGTCCAGCAGTGACAGACGACGATACCGAATCACAGGCATCGAGTTCCGTGCAGCAGGTGGATTCGGGTACCCAAGCGAGCGCTTCGGCTCAGGGTAAATACGGATCGGGTACAGCTCAGTCGCAAGTGACAGGTACCTATAGCGGTTCAGGCACCTTCTCTGCCCAAGCTGGTACTAGTGATGCCAACAAGAGCGCTCAAACTGAGATCAGTGGTGGTAAAGAAGGAGCTGCTAGCAATGCGCAAGGCGTCGCCGGTTATGGCAAAAGTCAAACACAAGTTCAATTAGATTCCGACTCCGGAGCTACCTCGACAGGTGCTCAAAGCAGTGGATGGAACCATGGGTCCAATTCGCAAGTGCAAGCAAGCTCCAAGGGCGGAATGGCGGATGCTCAAGCCAACGGCGAGGGCAATACTTCCAGTCAGGCGCAAATCGGGTTTCAGCCGTACTTGAAGAGTGAAGATGAGAATGTGGAAAAGCACGAGACGCCATTTCGCGGTAGCGGAACAGCATCGGCTCAAAGTGGCACTCATCGAGGTCAGTCCCAATCGCAGCTACAAGGTTCTTTTCAATACGGGATCACGTACACCGGCGCAGCGCAAGCCGGTTCTGGATCTGGTGCCGCATCCTCGAGGAAGCCCTTTAACTTCACTGATTCCGAACTTTTCAAGTCCTTTAAACCAGCTCCTTCTTTGAAGCGACCAACAAATATTGACAGTGCACAGTCGAATCTGTCGACAAATTCGAATTACAGGCAGGATGAAAACAAGCAGAATCGCGAGCAAGGCTTGCAAAGCAGCTCGACTTCGAGACAAACCGTCATCCTGGCTTCGAAAAACAATCCGGACGACGCTGACAAGAAGGTGCTCTCTACCGAAAAACCGCGAACGGATGACACAGCGTACGATGAATACGATGATGACTACACGGACGAAGATGATTATCCTACGGGTTCGAAGTTGACGATCAAAGAGAAATTTTCGGAAACTTTTCCGGGCTCGAGCCCGAGTCATCAAAAACTTGACAAGACCATTCAGCAGCAAAGTCGCAGTCAGACACAGACAATACAGGTCGCTAAAGGGAATCAATATAACATCCACGTTAGGCAAGATTCAAACGTACCGCGAACGGATGATACCCTGCAACCGGGACAATCCGTATCAGGATACACCATCCCACCTGGATTCCGCGGCCGAGTAATGTCGGCCTCTGGCACCGAGACTGTTGCTCAGGGTGACGGTAAATCTCAATCGCAGACTGTATCTTTAGTACCTAAGGACTTAAATAATACCAAATCATCGCTCGTCACAGAGACCAGATCGCTTCAGACCAATCACAATCGTTACATTGGCCGGCATATGCCGAAAAACCAAGAGCCTTCCCTTAATCAAAATATATCTTTCGACAAGCGTACGAAACCTACCCCGGCAGTAGCGTCGAAGCCGAGTTACTACACCGTGACCAACAGTTTCGCTGGCAAAATGAACGGCAGCAACGAACCGAGAAAGTACGAACATCGATATTATACTAAGAGTTCCACCTGTGGATACTTCACATTTTCCTGTAATGTCGTGTACGGTTCCAACGGTAGGACGAAGATCTGCAAGCCAAAAGTGCCGACGTATCCCGATGGCACGCCTATAAGATGTTGAATTATCAGAATATATATATAGGATGCAGCAACAATTATTTCTGTAAAGCATTCTGCATTAAATCATTTTTCTCTACATTGTATAGTACAGTGAAATTTGTGACTCGCTTAGATAGATTAGATCGTACTTGACTAATTGCTTTCGCGCGCCATTGTAGTTCATTGCATCATAAATTCGAATGAGATATATTCCCTCTTCAGTAGCTTTAACAAGTAGATACAATATAAAAATAAAACGAATATGGACAGAAAGCTTTCGTTCCTGTGGATTAGCAAATGAAGACTAATCTTTCAGGAAATCCACAGGTTGAAAGTTACGCCACAAATGTGTACTTCAATGCTGTAATTTTTTTATTGAGGTACTTCCAAATTATTGACTGTATAGTATGGTGGACGTATTGTTACATCAAATCGCTGCTATTTATTAAGTTTTCAATAAAATACATTTTAACTAGAAGGAAAATCTTTTCTTATCTTCTTCTCATCAGTTATGAAATATAATTAACAATCTTCTCAATTTGACGTACGTTGTATTGTATGAAAGTTCGTTTAATTTTTATCTACAACTATATTTGCGACACGGCAAACTCGCAGATACATATGTAGATAGAGTATTGCTTTGACTTATGCTATATATTTTCGATATTGACGTAAAATGTTCAGTTATAAATGTCAGGTATCATATCTTGTACATACTGTATCTCGCTACTCGATTTCGCCAATCTTTTTCAAGACGAAAAATACATGACAAAACATGTGTTTCATTACATATATATTTTTCATTATATATATATATTTCGTAAATATGTATATATATACAATATCTTTACACCAATTTTTAAAAAAGGAACGTACAAAATAAAATAATGCGGAATGTAAACTGTGTACAAAATACACATTGCTGATGACAAATGAAAAGAAGAAAGACATGTTCAGCATTTACAAAAGTAGAAAAACGAATATGAGCGACAATGAAATGATTATTTACAGGAAATAATGATTAAAAAAATTGATCTTCCTCTCACGATTGAGTAAATAACTATTAAACACAGTAAATACTGCAGATGACCTATCTTTTACATCGATAAAAATTGTATATTGTTGATTATAACATAAAATTAAATAACATAAACGCAACACATATATTTACATATATGCTTCAAGAAGTATTGACATTTTCATTATTAAACACAGTAGGCGCGTATCTCACGATAGTCATTCGACACGTACAATTCGCCTAGCACAGAGTCAAAGATTAAAAAAGAAAAGAAAAAAAACTGTTATCAAGTCCTGTACTTTAGGCCCACTATGAAATCACCTATCCAATTTGCCTTCGCTATCTGATTTACAACACTCCATCACTATCGACACGAGCAAATACTAGGCTTATTGCCGATCGTAGACTATAATTACGTTCAATTATTGTTTCATCGATTCAAAAGCGACGACTATATTAATAACGTACCTTCATTGTATTCATTGGAATTGTTACCTTGGAACTTTTGTTCCTCAGCCCCGTCTACTTCAGTGTCTACTGAAGTTTCGCGCGTCTCGTTATTGCTGTAAAGCAATATATTTTTTAGTTACACATATAACATACTTTAAGGTAAAATATATATTTTTTTAATTTTAATGTAGAAGATTGTGAATACGAGTTACAGATACTGATTGATTATTCTGTTTACCTATTTCTAAAATGTTCCAGTTGTACATTTGCAGATTCCAATTGCTCTACGAGATCCTCGTTGGTCCGTTGCAGTTTCCGCACATTATTCGTAGCAGCGTCAACCTCATCCTGAGCGGTAGCCAATTCTTTCTTCAATTCTTCGACTCTCGTTCTCACTCGCTTCACCTCCGCCTCATATTGCTCAGACCGTCTCATCGCGTGTGACAACTCCGTTGTTTTTTCCACCAAGGATTGTTTCAGCGACGCTTGATACTGCTTTACTTCAAGTAACACCTGCACAAGAAAAGCAAGATAATAACAGCCTTAACTTTAAGGATTACTAATTTGTAAGATTATTGAACGGACCATGTTGCGAACTAGAATCTCGTGCTGCAATTGTCTCGTATCTGTGTCGGCTGTAGATACCGGTCGTGGTCGCCGCGATTCTGCTCTCTCTTGCAGTTCATATAATTTTAAGCGGAGCAGCTTGTTCTCTCGTTCCAAGGAATTCTTCTCAGTTTCTAGTCTCTCCCTTTTACTCCACTCTGCTGCATTTTCAACTTGAAGTTTCTCTAACTAAAATTTTGAAATATAAAGATGTAAGAATATCTATGATATAGCACATATAATGCGTATAAAAGTTAAAAATAAAATTTAACAACTTTATCAGAAATACTTATTTATTAATTAATACTTAATGATTTCTTTAAAGAAAATGTGACTGTAAATATTCTTATAGTAACTTACTTCTGTCCTTAATTCTGTCAAACGACGGTCCATGCTCTCTCCATTACTTGTATTATCTATTAAATCCGCTATATGTTCGTCACTGAGTTCAAGTTGGAAACGTTCTTTTAGCTCTGATAATTCTCTCATTGCTTCGGCTTTACTCTCGGATAATTCCTCACATTGCTCTCTTAATTGTCTAACTTCAGCTTTCAATTTTTCCACAGTCCGATGTAGAGAATTGTTTTCCCTTATAGAACAGAAGTAAAATAAATTTATATACGACATAATCAATTAATTTTGTACATTGAGATTTCGTGCAAGACTTACTCTCTTTCCACAGAAATAGTTTTCGTTGCCTGCTGCAATTTTGTTTGCAACTCTGACATTTTCTGAGTTAAAGATTCTTCGTTATACATATCTAAAGGTGATTGTTGTTTCTCCAATCCATCCTTTTTGCCATTACTATCCGCGACTAGTTTCGTGATGCTTTTATCTAGCGAATTACTGGGACTCTCCTTGTACAATTCTACTGCATGTTTTGGCACAGCACCTTGCAAAACATACTCTTCGATATCTCTTTCTGGCAGAATATTGTGACCTACAGAAGCAACATTTGCTACTTCAAGTGAATTTTTACAGGATAGCATATCCCTTTGTGCACCTAATGCCTCACTGGCATCGACATTGTTGTAAAACTCCAGTTGTTCGTCCAATCCAAAAGTAGCTCTTAATTGCTGATCTGATTCCAGAATAGTAAAGATCTGTTGATCAAATTGCCCAGCATGTTTCAAAAGTATCATATGTATCTTTTCCATCTCTTTCTTTAGCTGTTCGTTCTGCAGTTCCAGTTCTTGAGATTCATGCTTGAAAGTATTAGCATCTTTAACGGCAATCTCTAATTTCGCTCTCAGAGCCTTTGCCTCATCTCTAGCCGCGTTCCTTTCATTCCTTACTTTGCTCCATTTCTCACGCCAGTTAGCAGTACAGTCGGACCACCATCGCATCGTTTTTTCCATTTGTGCTGCTCGTGCTCTTGCTTCCTCAAGCTCTCGCTGTCGTAAGGCCTGTTTGATGAGAAAACACATGCAGCAATTAATCGATAAAGTCATTGTCAAACAAACAATATTATGGTCAACTAAATCTCTCAAGAAACTTTTCACTTATAATTATTATAAACTATTATAATTATTAAAAACTTTAAACAATATAGATTAGAAACGTGGTACGAATATAAAACAATGTAATTAGAAAGGCATATAACCACGAATGCCTGATATCTATGGCTTAAAAATATTATATTTGATATACTACAAAATAAATAAACGTTTCGGTCTTGAATCAGATCTTCAGTATTACCTTAATTAAACGTGATACGAATATAATACAATATAATTTCGGTCTTAATATTACAGTCCTACACTTATAAATACTTTAAGATATTACAGATATCCGTTAATATTTTACTAGCAGATGTTTTATTCCGCTTCATTGATAGATGTGATATTTTTTCTCCCATTTAAACACACAATGTTCCATACGAGTAAGGTTGTCAGATAGATCTTGATACGTGAACCAAACTTAATAGGTAAGCAAAATTTTTCTCAATATATGTCCACACAAAAGTTCCAATTTCTGTGTCGAAGATGAGATAACCGCAATCAAAAACATGGAAAAATCATGTGATAATGATCAATGCTAAAACCGTTATATTAGGAATATAAGCAGTTATCTCATCTTCGACACAGAAATTGGAACTTTTGTGTGGACATATATTGAGAAAAATTTTGCTTACCTATTGAGTTTGATTTACGTATCAAGATCTATCTGACAACCTTACTTGTATGGAACATTGTGTGTTTAAATGGGAGAAAAAATATTACATCTATCAATGAAGCAGAATAAAACATCTGCTAGTAAAGTATTAAAGGATATCTGTAATATCTTAAAGTATTTATAAGTGTAGGACTGTAATATTAAGACCAAAATTATATTGTATTATATTCGTATCACGTTTAATTAAGGTAATACTGAAGAAGGTCTGATTCAAGACCGAAACGTCTATTTATTGTAGTATATCAAATATAATATTTTTAAGCCATAGATATCAGGTGTTCGTGGTTATATGCCTTTCTAATTACATTGTTTTAAAAACTTTAATTTATGATTATACATATATAATGCAAAATTAAGATTAAAGCACAATTTAAGTCTGCAGAAAAGAGCTACCTCTTTAGATTCCCACTCGCTGTCTACGTAACGCGACGAGGATGGTACCTCGTGCTCCCGCATGTATCGTCGCGAGGAGGTTCCGCTTGTTGTCGACTGTGCCATGGTACGAGCAGCGCGTAACCTGCAGCTTTGTTTTCGCTGACAGCCCCCGGGCGATCTTCCAAATTGTTGCTCCTTTGCCTCCGCGGCACCTTCCGGCACCGATTTAATGCTGATTAAGCATCCAGAGCATCGTTCCTGCCTCGATCGCGTCGTTTAAATGTCATCAGTCTTGAATGAACAACCAAATTCCGTACATACCACTGACAATATCGTACATATAAACGTACACATGTAGTATACACACCTGATATGGCTGAGACACTACACACACCCATATTTAACGATAGCCACTGATAGCCACCTCCCTCGCGGAAAAAGAGGAGCTCGAGGGTTGTCTAAATTGCTGCGCGCGTAAATTTGAAATGTCATGAATATTATATGGATGTACTAAGGATATAAATATATAATACAAAGATGCATAATTTTTCAGGGAATTTAATAGATTTAGGTTATTGTCTTTATAAAGTCTTTATAAGCTAAAAACGAGCCTTTTAGAGTGCTAAGAAAATTCTAAAGTTTCTAAAAGATTAAAAAACGGATTTTTTTAGGTAATAAAAGTTGAAAAGATTTGTTGATATATAGTTCGAAAAGATGTTATAATTAAAGGGCCCGAGTATTTTATAATTTTTTATATAATTCATCTTATAGTATTGTATTTATACAAACTTGATTTTTTCTCAATGTTTTTTATCTTCGATTTTATTAAAATCTTTACCTTGAAAGTTTAATACATCTAAAACTTATAAACATACAATTCGATTTATTACTACAGATATTGTTACAGACATCTCAATTTATCTTCGCTTTCTACCGCCAACCTTCTTGTGCAAATCCCGCTTGCCTTTTCCTGCCTTCGGCTTTTTAGCAGTTTTACTTGCTTTTAATGCGCCTTTCCTCTTTTTACTACCACTTGTTGTGGACCGCTTTATCCTGCAGATAAAATACACAAATAAATATTACATTATTATACTCAATAAATCTAGATTAAACTTGCACAAGTAAAAACTTACTCTGCAATTCCTGTCGAGTAATCATCGCGTACAATTTTCGTGTTACTCTTCAAAACGCTATCCACCAGGTTTTTGTTCTGACGTTTTTCTTCAATAATGTTTAATGGAGGTGCTTTCCTTTTTCTTTTCATTCCTGTCACTTCCTTGGCAATTCCTTTTGCATCTTTCTCTTTCGGTAATCTGTAAAAATTTTACATTGTACTATTTTGTTGAAAGAAAAAAATGTTATGGCATTAAAATTGCAATATTCAAAGAGCATACCTAGACTGGAATTTTCCAATAGATGCAGTCGACGTACGCGCTATAGTTAGAGCTTCAGAAAGCTGTTGAGAACTCGAAAAGTGTTCTCTGGTAGGCAAACCAACTCTCGGTAATTTGATATTTTTCGATTTGGCTATATTGCGAAGTCTTTGCAATTCGTTTTTGGATTGCCTTTCCTGTTTAGCTGTTTTAGCTTTAGCAAACAGATCGTCGGTCGAGCTACCATCACCCTTGGCCTCTATTATCCATTCTTTCTGTTCTTGAGCCTTTACTCGTTTGTAACCATATGTTGGAATCCATTTCTAAAAAAAAAAGATTTAGGGCATCCGATAAACTGAATGATTAATTATAAGCCTTTTCATTAAACTATTAATAGTAATTTAAATACTTTGAATATAATCAATAACTTTTAATAACTTAAAATATAAATATTACAGAATAGTTTTGAAAGTAAAAACAAACCTTCAATTCCTCATCCCACTTCAGTTTGGATCTACCTTTCTTTTTGGTTCGAATTCCCTTCTCTTTAGCAAATTGCTGCCACTTTGTCAAAGGCTTGGGCTTTGGAATGACACGTGAGCGTGGCAATGTATAGTTAGGCTTAGGCAACTTAGCCACTATAGCTTCGTCCATTCGTTCTACTGGCAATTCCCAGATTTTATTGATCAGCAACTGTACGTTGTCTCTTGTTAGATCTTTCAAATATGAATTTGGTTTTGACCTACAGATATAACACACATTATAAATATTTTTCAGAGATGAAATCAATCCGGAATGTTTCTTACAGTGCCAACATATATACAAGACGGAATTACTTTAGAGCCTTTGCGTCAAAAACGTTATAATCGGATGCGAGCAGAGTTCCCAGATCGATGTCAAGCTCCACATTCTTGTGAACTTTTGTCGATTTACTTAAATCCTCTTTCCCTCCATTCTCTTCTAAGATCGATTTCACAAGATCCATTATGGGGACCAGGACCACATGAGTCAAATTCTTGCGAATTTGAGGTTATACAATCGTATGCGATCTCCTTCGCAGCTGCACTGTATTGTACTTTCCGCAGTAATCCCAGTGAGAAATGAGAAGAGTGCAAAAGATAAATATTCAATCGGAATCGATCAATCACGGATGTCTGGCGATGTCTATTTCAAATAGGACACGCGATTGGCTGATATTGCTGCGCTCAGTAATGGCCG